AATTTTTTAAAACTATATTTCTCTGAATGGCTATCAGGACAAGATGTAGTTCCCATGACAAATCTGAGAAGCCACCTAACTTAACTCACTTTATGAAGTTGCCTCGACCACAAATACAAAACAGATAACAGGGCATAAAATTCAGGTCTTCCCTGTGGAGCTGCAAGATGCTGGCGACATGAGACTCAGCCTCTCCACCTCTTGGCTGTCCCTGCAAGGTGCTGGTGCCATCCCCACCAGCCGTCATCCCCGTAATTACGAGATCTGCCCATACCTCCTGGAGATGCACGCACTTTGGTTCCTAATCACATTCATTCAGTCCCCCCCCCCCCAATGATCTCTGTAACCAGAGAAGTGTGACGACCTGGATCTCTAAACCAGTTATGGTGCTAGCACAAGAGAAGCTCATGGACCAAGAGAAAGTAACAGTGACTCCCAGAGCAATTGGGGAGAGGAGTCTGCAAGCCTGAATGGAAGCAAAGTGACCCAGAGCCAGTTGGGCACTCTAGAAGCCATATGGTCTACGTGCATCTTTTCCCAAAAGAATAATTCTACTTACCAACACAACACTTCTCAATCATGTTATCTGTCAATGGCAAAACCAACCCGAACTGATACAAGTAGAGAAAAATATAAATTATAGTGGTGCATGCCTATAATCCCAGCACTCAGGAGGCTGAGACAGGAAGATGGCCTTGAGTTCAAGGCCAGCCTCAGCTACAAAGTGAGCTCAAGGCCAACCTGAATTGCAGGCAAGCTGAGGAAATAAGTGGGACCTACCAATTACAAGATTCCAGAACAGTACAGAAAAATTCCCAGGACCCCTTATGTGGCACTTCTCAGGCTCCCGTGAGACGTGAATGGCAAGGGGGTGTTTAGACACCAGCGGAGTCCACCTACATCTTCTGGATGAAAAGTGCAGTTTTATTTTGCTTTTATCCTTTTCTCTCTTTGACCCAATTTCACTATTTCTTCCCTTACCCCTTTATCACTTACCTTTCAAATAAAATTTTGGCATCATTTTTGGCTTGCTTTGTTCAATTCTTTGTTTGAGGCAAGTAGAACTTGGAATACTTTTAATTAGCAAACCATTCCTAAAGGAACTACCCAACCACAGAACCTAACTATGATGACGTTCAGCGTGGAGACAACTTCAAGCCAATGCTTTCAATTGGAAGGATTGGGAAAGCCCTGTGGAAAATTGAAGAAATCCTTTGATGGTTTGAATAATTGGCTTCTTTGTGAGTATAACACAAAAGATAACCACTAAGGTCCCACCTTTAAAAATGAAACATTTTTTCCCAGCTTAGTCACTGAGAGGAGCCCAGCAGTAGCTGCATTTTTGCCCCCACAGATGTCTGTCTCACCCTCAAATTCAGGTTGAACATGATACTGTTTTCCACAAGAAGAAACAAGCACTTACTAAATGAAGTTTACACTAACTTTAAAAACAGGAAAGATCCAAGATAAGCCAGAAGAAATGATGCTGGCAAAATAGACCAACGCTTCAGGAACCAAAAATCTGGTTTAAAGGAGTTTCCTTTAGCAGTTCTGAAATGTTTTAATTTCAGCAGAAGCCTAAGAAGGGAGGAAACTGAAACAATGAAGGGAAAGGATGGTTGCATGAAAAAAGTTGATTGTGTAAAATTCAAAGAATTCATTTTCAAAAGAGAAAAGCTCAGCTGGAAAAAAAGATAGCCTCTTTAAAGATAGCCTCTTTAAATGGTTCTTAAAAAAAACTTGCGTTCCACATGCCGAAGATTAAAATTAGACCTACATCTTTCACAATACATTCAACTAAAATTGAAATGTATCAAAAATCTAAATATTAAAACAGAAATATTAAATCTGCTGGAAGATAGGATAGGTAGAACACTTGAAGACATTGATGTAGGCAAAGACTTTATGAACAAAACCCCAATCATACAGAAAATATCACACAAAATCAACAATTTGCATCTCATCTTATTAGAAAGCTTTTGAACAGCAAGAGAAATCACCACCAACCAAATGAAGAAACAACCCACAGCGAGGGACAGAATTTTTTTCAGCTATTCCTCAGACGAAGTATTACTATCTAAAATATATAAAGAACTCAAAAAGATCAGATTCCCCAATGTTAAGACCCAATCCAAAAATGGGCATCTGAAATGACTACTACAAACTTCTCAGATGAAAAAGTACAAACAGCAAATAAATATATGAAAAAAAAAAGGGTTTAACGTGACTAGTCATTCAAGAGATGCAAATTAAAATGACACTGAGTGTGGTAGGGTGACAGATGATGTTCAATTTGTAACACCTCACCGAAATGAACCAGCATGGTGCTGCCTGTGGAAGGCCCACCTGGGGATTGTTGCCAACATAAACAGGAGAACTGAAAAAGAAAAGGCACTGTTAAGATGCTGTTGGTTCTTCTGGAGTAGCTTGTCATGCTGGCTTTCCTGATGAACTTGGCCGTTTTCTTTGTCAAAGAAGCTTGGGACCTCCTTGTCACTGAGAATGGGTGTGATTCACCTTGGGGGAGCTCTGGTCCTTACTTGAGCACCCATTCCTGACTCTGGAAAGGAAGATGTCGCACTGTACAATACTGAGATTCCATCTCCTTTCAGAAAGAACACCTATCATCAAGAAATCAATCAATAACAAAAGCTGGGTGAGGGGAATAAACCTTCTCCACTGTTGGTGGGAGTGTAGACTGGTGCAACCACTGTAGAAATCAGTGTGGCGATTCTTCAAAAACCTAGGACTAGAGGTCCCATT